GGCATACATCTACCTAGGCCTGCGGCGCTGATACCCGAGTCGGGTAGTGCAAAAGTGTACACAAAGATACGGGCCTCCGGCCCGTCAACGGCCCGTCACTTTGACTAAGCATGCAGGGTTGTACATTTTTTCGCTTATTTTTGTCAAAAACACCCTCTAGCGTCTCAACGGTTAGAGATAGAGCCAAACGGATGAAAGTTTCGCCCAAAGGGCTCTACTTTGATGAGTTACCCCTTAGAAAACATTAACAAAATATTTTTAAATAACGACATTTTGGGGACCTGTGGTTTTTGATTTTTTAAAAATCCAATTTTTGAGCTAGAATGCTCTTCTTCGAACTCGATCTGTCTTTTGATGATACAAAACGACCCTGAAAATTCCAGGTCGCTAGCTCAATTCGTTCTCGAGTTATCGTGCGTACAGACAAACAGACAGACAAACAGACGCGAAACTTTTCGATAATCAGTGGAGTAATAGGCTTCGCTGATCGCTCAGCCAATGAACATTTCTCTACCATTCTTTACCCATGCACAGCATTTGAGTTCCATCACGAATGCCAGAAATGTGTCATGTTTTTCAATCATATCGACCAACACAGATGTGAGGGGTCGTGTTGGCGATGTTTTGGCGACACAGCTCACGATGCTCCTGATGTTCCCCTTGTTAGATGCCCTAATTGCCAGCACCAGTATTCAGGTGATGCATGTATGCTCGCCCATAAAACTGTCAAGCTTCCCCGTTCTAACCTCTCTAAGTGTGAGACTTTTAAATTTTGCATGGCGTGTAAAAAGAGCTATTTCACTACAAATGGTCAGCCACACCTTTGCAATTTCGTTTATTGTAAATACTGTAAGCATAACGTAAAGGAGAATCATCTTTGCCATATGACCTCTTAGGCGGAGAGGGAGAAGAAGGACAAGTGGTCTTACATTTCTCTATACTGGGATCTTGAGTCCACTCAGGACACGCCTGTGGAAGGCAAAGAAAACACCTTTGAACACAAACCTAACTTGCTTGTGTCTCAAGCTGTTTGTGATAACTGTATTAATGTTAAACAGAATGATTACTTCTGTAATACATGCAAGACACGTCAACAAGTGTTCCATAACCTAGACGACCCAAGTATTAGTGTCATGGAGCAATTTTTTAACTATTTGTAATCTTTCGGTGCCAAGACCGACATTCTCTTGGTGGCCCATAACGCAAAAGCGTTTGATTCCATTTTTGCTCTTCAAGAGGTTGTGAAGCGTAAACTCAAGTCTGAATTGACACTTGCCTGGGCCAAAATAATTTGTATGAAAGTAAGTAATTGGAAATTCATAGATTCATTATCTTTTATGCCTATGGCTCTTAGCGCTATGCCTAAAGCTTTCGGCCTCACCGAACTCAAGAAAGGTTATTGGCCATTTTTGGCCAATAAACCTGAATATTATAAATATGAAGGCCCCCTTCTCCCTAAAGACTTGTACTGCATCTCCACGATGAAATCAAAGGCAGCAGCCGATTTCCACTCGTGGTATGATGAACAAGTTGAGAACGGCTATGTCTTTAACTTTAGAAAAGAGTTTGTAGACTATTGTATATCAGATGTCACAATCTTGCGGGAAGCATGCACTGCCTTCCGCAAACTTTTCCAAGAGGTTGCTGGGTTCGATCCCATGTTTAATTGTATTACACTCAGTAGCGCTTGCATGGCAGCCTTTCGGCGTAACTTCCTTCAGAAGGACACTATTGGAATCGTTCCCGCAGGAGGCTATCATGGCCGTGGTAAACAGAGCCATATCGCTCTTAAATGGCTAGACTATGAGTCCTATAAACTTGGCAAAACAATTAAGACCATATACACAGACCGGGAGGTCTCAGTGATGGGGCGCCGCGTGGACGGCTACGTTGAATTCCAGGATGATGATGGGCGTACAGTGAAGCGCATTTATCAATTTCACGGATGCTATTGGCATCAATGCCCTACTCACTTCCCTGCTACAGAGGATGACTCTGAAAACCGCTATGTGAACACCCAGAAAATTATTGAGGTGTTCCGTGAAAATGGTTATGAAGTAGTAGAAAAATGGGAATGTGACTTTAAGCGTGATATGGCTAGTGACCCTGGCACTAAAGCCTTTTATGAGCACCACCCTACCACTCGTGTCACTCCCCTTAACCTCCGTGATGCTCTCTGTGGTGGGCGCACAAGTGCACTTAAATGGTACTACAAAGTAGATCTTGAGAAAGGGGAGAAAATCAAAATGGCAGATGTCATTTCTGAATATCCTAATGCAAATCTGAGAGGGGAGTTCCCTTATGGACACCCTGAAAGCTTCCTAGAAGGTGATGTTAACATGCCCCCCCCCCTTGATCAGTGGAACGGTGCCATTAAATGTACGGTAATCCCTGGTTTTCATGCAGGTGTTGGAAATTCAACCTCCGCTGCTGTACCATCATCTCACCTTCTCCAACTTTATGAGGACAATCAGAACATCAAAACGATGCTGCAAAAAGTTATTTTAAATCAAAAAAGAATTCTGTCCTGTGTTCAAGACGAAGACGAACAACGTCTGGATGATTTTGATTTTGTCCCTTCTGACAAGTTTCCTCTCAAGACGGAGGATGATTTTGAGTTTATCGAAGAATACCTGTCAATTAAAGTTCAGAGGCGTGAGGCTGTAAGTAACCTTTAATCTAATCTAATCTTTGATTTATTAGTAATTTTTGTAACAAATTTTTTGTTGAATATTTCATTAGGTAAAGTACTTTACAAACTACTATGCAGAAGACTGGGATGAGTGGAAGTTCACTGGCAAACTCCTTTCCAAACTCATTTCAAATGACTTTGCCAAAAGTATCAGTTGGGAGGGTACTGAGGGGTCAAAAATTGCCTTTAAAACCACCAGGCTCAACCACACAATAAGATGTATGTGTTCAAAATAATAACTAATTGATTTCATATTTTGGCCTTACTTGCATATTGGTAAAGGTTTCATTTTCATTGCAGTGGCTGTCCTCAAAATATTCAACTCTGACCTCAGTCAATCAGAGAAGAAAGTACAGAGGTGGTTTTACACCAGCAAACAACGCGGTAAATGATTCTCGCTTCCTTTTTGTTTTTTAACTTTGTTCAAGAATTAATTATTTCTTTTGACTGTATGTTTATCTGAAAGGGTGCTTGATTTCAAGTCTTGGTAGTCTTATTTTCTGTAACTGACACAAGTCTCGGGTAAACAGGAATATCAATTTAATTTGTCAGTTACACTGTTATGTCATTTTGTCTTTTTTCAAATGTCGTTGAAAGATAATGTGTACATACA